CACTAACTTTTTTATTTATTTTTTGTACCAAAAACTTTGCCTTAAACATATCAGAATGTTGCTTGAAAAGTTTGATGATTTCACGATTTTACCTGTTATTTTTTGTGAACAATCTGCTTTGTTTGTGATCCATACATTCCCAAGTCACATTTCAAAAAACACAATACTGTTAGAATATATATATATATATATATTGCTTGTTATTCAGTTTCAGTGGACTTTATGAAAACTAATTGAGTGTTTCACACATCTGTATTGTTACTTTTATTTTCATTCATAAACTGGATTAATTATAAATATAATTTCTTAATTATTTACATGATGATTATAGAATACAAGTTCCTGAACTCTGTTAGATTTTAGTTTAGAGAAATACTTGATTTTCTGTTGTGTGTACTCTAGAAGATACAAAATTCAAGTAAAATATGTGAGAGTTAAAGTAATCAAACTACTGTGAAGTTTCCTTTAGGATTTTTATTTGACAAATTTGGTGTTTAATGTTTATTATATATATAGTACCGCACACCGACAAGTATTACCATTGAAACAATGGGAGAAGAACAGGTATATGAACTGAAGGGAATTCTAGATTTCAACAACGTCCGAAAACGCATGTCTGTAAGTTAAATACTTTTCAACAAAGTTTAAACATTAAATTTGTGCTTGTTGATTTATTCCTATTAGATAGTGTTGTAATTTACAAGCAACTGTTAAACTTTTAATTTATGATCTTATTACAGTCAGTAAAGGATATATTAAGTCTTAATGCATGTACGTACAGAGACATTTTAAATTTGAGCCAATTATGTTCTAAGTTTGTAGCTCTACACATACACAAAATGTTAAATATTTTTTCAGTTCAAGTAGCTAAAGCCTAATTTAATAAATTTAATTTATAGACTTTGTCCTTTTCAACCATTTGTTTTTGCCCAAATTGGGCAGAAAAAATTCAACATTGTTTGTCATCTGAGATTGGCTTTCCATATTCATTCTACCCAGCAAGTTTGAATTTTATTGGCTGTGTAAATTCAGTTATGGTCAGTTTTTTACATCCATCTATGACTTGTTTATGGGATGTTTAATCTTATTTATATAATTTGTTTTTTCAAGATTAGTAGTAATGAGACAGGATTTTCATTGGTTTGTTTTTGCTCTTATTCAAGATCACTCATAAAATCAGTATGGGAAACTCATTGATAAAGTTCTCCTGTACAGATTAAGAAATATGTATGCATATGAGCAGTTGTTATGCTTCATAGACTATCATATACTTGAGGCAGATCTTTAACACCCATTTAGCTATGAAAGGATTGAAACATTCAGAATTTTTTTTTTTAATAATGTGTGTTTGAGGAAATGAAATTTCTAGACTTTAGATATCCCATTTATTTTCACACATAGTGAATGTTTCATTCATCTAATTTAGAATTTAGCATTGTTGTGCTTATTTGAGTAGTGTGGAAAATGTAATACATATTTTGCCAAGAGAATAAATTTCGATAACATGTGAGTAATGTCTAGTTAAAAATATATTATAGCTTGTTTTATTTGTTTACAAAGTTTCTATTGAAGATCCATAAAATTAGTGTTAAACAATATTTCAGAGCAGATTTATTTAAAACAGTGTATCAACTAATTTAGGAAAAGATATGACCACTCATTATATACTGAATAATACAGGTCTTTATATTAATAAGCCTGCACATTGTTAGAAGTTTTATTTCTCTGATTTTGATGGTTCTTGATCTTAAGTAGTAAAAAATTATATATGTTAGATATGCAGTCATCACATTCAGATTGTATTTAATATGTTCTTTATTATTATGTAGCTTTTCTGTACAGTCTGCTTTTATATTAGTGAAAATCTTTGCTGAAGAAGTATTCTACTTTTATATTATTCAGGTGATAGTAAAGAAAAATGGGAAGTTAAAACTCTACTGTAAAGGTGCTGATTCTGTGATATTTGAGCGCCTTAACCCAGATTCAGCAGAAATAAAAATAAAAACAATGGACCACCTTAATGTAAGTAACAGAATATCATTCATTTAGAATGCTTTTAAAAAGTTTTTAAAACACTTTTTAATGTAAGTTGCCAGGTAGCTTAATGCAGAGTTTCACTTGTATGTTTCAAAATGCTTTTTTTACAGTATTTTCCCAACTGCTATTCAAAATGATCTATATGCTTTCAATATCAGTTGAACCTTATGAAACATTATTTTAAGGGGCATTTTTAAAATATAACGAAGATCATAATTTATTGTTTTAAAAAAATACATTTTTTTAATTATTCACCTTTGTAATAATGTTTAGTGAAATACAGAAGTTTTCTTCTCTGTTTATTTCTGATTAGTGCAGTATTTTATCAAACTTAAGGACTGTTATCTCAGCTGTTTAATTTATATTACTTTCATATATCTAACAAAGACCTTTTTGGACTAAGTTAAATAAAAACAGTAAAAATCTATTCACATCTATCTTTACACAATGCAAATTTTCTTAGTTTTTCTTTCCTTAGAAGTTAATGATGAAATAGAAAGAAAGAGTCTAATTATTTCGTTGTTGTTCATCTGACAATAACACATTTATACTAACTGAATAGTATAATTTTACCTGTTTTTGATACACTTTCATTGAAAAATTTTAAGCATTTCATGTACATTTACAGCTGTAACTGTGCTTTTCTTAGCATTATGTATGTGCATTCATAGTTATGATTTTGAAAGTAATTTCTATTTTTAACAAATCTTGATAGTTCTGATGAATGTTTAATAATTTCTGTAGTTGCTTAGAGGATTAAAACGTCCTGAGAAAACTAAATTCACACACACACACATCTATATTGGAACAAGATTTTACAGACTAGATTGCTGTGTTGTATTCTTGTTGTTTGTTGTTAAAACTTGGATATTTTGCTCAACCTTATTCTATGACAATTAATATCATGTTCTTCTTATAAGTTCCACTTAATATCCTACAACTCAGTTTATTAAGACTATAACTGATAAGCTTAAAGAACTCCTCCAAAACAATAAAATTAATAAACAGACATTTCAGTATTTGATACCCAGACAAGCTTTTCCTGGTAGATTTTATCTCTTACCCAAAATACAGAAACCAAACAATCCTGGCAGACCAATAATTTTTGATATAAACATGGCTACTGAAAAATTATCTGCTTTTGTTGACCAACACATAAAATATATTCTCTGTACTCTCCCCTCTTACATAAAGGATACTACTCATTTTCTTAACATCATAGAAGATATTAATACTAATGGATAGTTACCACCTCCCAACAGTCTTCTGTCCACAATGGATATTTCTTCCTTTAACACCAATATTCCAAATGATGAAAGACTACATACTCTAAAGTCCACGTTAAACCTTTCTAACCAATCACAATCTCAAACAGTAACTGATCTTGCCAGCTGGTTTTAACTCTGAACTACCTCGAATTCAATAACGATCATTACATTCAGTTTAACTGTACTGCAATGGGTACCAAAATGGCTCCCAGTTATGCCAACATTTTTATGGGTCATATTGAAAATCAGCTTTTACAACTAAGCCCTGTAAAACCTCACACATAGAAATGTTACATAGACAACATATTTTTCATTTAGAAAACCGGTCTTAAATCACTTAGAGAATTTATCTCGAATGCAAACTTCTTTCACAAAACAAGTTTACCTGTGATCACTTGCCTACCCAGATTAACTTTCTTGACGTCACTGTTTTTCTAAAAGAGAGAATTTTACATACTGACTTGTAAAAAAAAAAACTACAAACAGACCACAATACCTTCACTATAACAGATATTTCCTGAAGTTCCCGTTGTCTCCTTCCAAAAAAGCAGAACTATAAAGATATTCTTGTTCACACAAAATTGAATTACATCCCACCCAAAAATGGTTGTCTTCCATGCAATAAAGCCCATTGTCAAACATGCAAGTTCATAAAACACTGACTCATTTTGTGACAAGCACAATCAAAGAAGCTTTAAAATATCCAAATAAATCACTTGTGAAACAAAAAACACCATTTACCTTATACAGTGTAAAAAATGCAATTACCAATATGTAGGACATACACAAATAACTCTTAGAGAATGTTTCAACAACCATCAATCTTCTATTAACACTGAAAAAGATCTCCCTGTTGCTCAAC